GAAGGACGTGATGTTGATGGAACAATCCACATTACTTGCTAGTTCACTTTTTCTAATGGCTTCCTGGCTACCCAGAAACCTGGGGGTACCATCAGATTTGGCGTGACGCCTGCGATCTGGCACACTGTCCGAGTCTCCTGGCCGTGTTCCCGTGTGCTCTCACTGAACTGCAGGGGTTCTTTATGTGTTCTGGATGAGCTCTCCCTCAGTTGTGCAAATGTCCTCTCTTTCTGTGGCTTTTCACTTTCTTTATCGGGTCTTTGGATGAGAAGTTTTTACCGTTGTCTAACTTGAACCATTTATTTTATGGTTAGTGCTTTTTGTAACTTATTTTTAAAATACCTCCCTATACCAGAGTTGGGAGCTCTGGTGGCATAGTGCCTAAGGCATTTGACTGCTGCTAACCAGAAGGCTGGCGGTTCAAACCCACTAGGCACTCCTTGGAAGGAAGACATGGCAATTTACTTCTATAGAGATACCGCCTCAGAAACCTAAGAAGGGGTCACTGTGAGCTGGATTTGACACAACGCCAGCGAGTTTGGTTTTGGTATACCAGGGTTATACCAGGGTAGGACATCTTGTTATCTTCTACAGTCTTCAGAGTTTAGATCGCCACATTGAAGGATGTAATCTATCTGAAGGGATCTTTGTATCTGGTTGAGGGAAACCAGATGCATTGTGGGTATGCAACTGGCCAAGTGCCGTCTATTAAAAGAGCCTTCCTTCACTGCTCCCAACAGGATCACCTTTGTCACAAACCAAGCCCATATGTGAGTCTCTTTGTTTCTGTTTCTCCTTTACTGCCTCCTTCAGTATTATTCTGCAGATTTTTAGTATAATTTTTTGGGGGGGTCAGTTTTAGGTCCACTTCATTAGAGAAGATTAGGAGCTTTCCCTCCTGGCTTTGCTGAAGTTACCTTTTCCATGAATGGTTGTTGAATGTTGTCAAAAACATTTTGTGCATGTATTGAAATGATCATTGTTTTCTCCTTGTTAAAATGATTTCCATTAGTCAATCGCCACACACTCTTGGTATAAATCCAACGTGGACAGATAATATATTATCCTTCTATGCACTGCTGGGTTTAGTTTGTCAACATTTTTGTTTAGCGTTTTTTCAGTTATGTTCCTGAGTGAGATTGGCCTGTACCTCACAAGTGTTCAAGCTGATGAAGAAAACCAAATTGGGTGGGTTCCTGGGGTTGTTGGAGAATGAAGGGAACTCCATCTCTGGGCACAGAGGGTGTGTGTCACATCTGCTTTGTCATGTAGACGTCAGAGTAGTTTCATATCTGGGTTATCACAGGTTTAAACAAACGCTTAAACCATTGAAAGCCCATCGGAATTTGATAGTTTATTCCTCGACTCCGTATCAGATCATGAGAGCTCATTGTTCAAGCTGGACGTCTTTCAGTGTTTTGACTTCTCTCCCCCACACACAAGAGCTCTGGTGGCGTAGTGCCTAAGGCATCTGACTGCTAAGCAGAAGGCTGGCAGTTCAAATCCACCAGCCACTCCTTAAGGTTGGGCAATCTACTTCCGTAGAGATACCGCCTCGGAAACCCAAGGAGGGGTCGCTATGAGTCAGATCTGACTCCACAGCAGAGAGTGAGCGAGCCCCCACATACAATCAACACCAGGTGCTTCTGAATCCTTTCCATCTCCACAGCCAGTTTTGATTCAGCGTTTACCTTATTCCTGAATTACGATAACGTCCCAATTGGTTCCTCATCCAAACAAGAAGACAGAGCCATTATTCATTGAACACTACTTACACACTTGTGTGCCAGGTGGTGCTTTAAACAGGACTTATTTAAGAGCTAAGAAGACTAAGCATTATGAAACTCTTGTGCACTTTTCATGTTTCAGTTTTCCAAACTGAAGCATCCGTTTTAATCTGATTATCTCAGATATCAAAATGACTGTCACATCGAAATGACAGAGGAGCTATGAGTGCCTTCTGTGCTGATTGTCCCCATCGAGGCACTTCCAGTGTCCCAGGAAGCCACACAGTTTTCTGCATCACTGAGCTTGAGAACATCCGAGGTGCAGTTGTGACGAAACTGAACATCGAAGTTTCTAGGGAGCTTCATTTTTCCACACTCGGGGACCAGGTGTACGACTGTAACACTTCCTAAACTCTCAGGCCAGGCCAAAGGCAGATGCAGACCAGAATTTTTACAAGAATGTTCTAAGTTGGAAATGTTCTGGACATTAAACTATCTTTTTATGCCTTCTCCCTTACTAGGGTAATTTATAATAAAACTTTTTTTTTTTTTTCTGTACCTCTCATGTACCTCTCTGTCTTCCTCTTCCTCAGTGCCACCATGTTGACTTTTAGTACATTGCTTCTTTATAAAGCAAATTTCAAGTATTTTAAGTGACAACCATTTGGGGAGTGTGCAACACCCAACCTAAGGGCACACACAGTTCTAGATAGACTTTAAAATGGCATTTATTGAACATAAAATGTTACTACCAAACATCAGTGAAAACCAAAGCATACATTAATGGAGCTGTATTACAAAGAGATGAGAATTCATAAAGGTATGCCTCACATGTAAACTTGAGGAAGGACCAACCACTTAAGGGCACTGTATGAGCAACATTTAGAAGATACGATGTACAGATACGTCGTGGCTCCACTATACCCCTCAGAATAGGATCGGTGCCGGCACCGACCACCATCAGGCACCCCATTTAGCAGAGGCCCCTGCCTCACCCGTGGCTCTGGCTGCCATGTCTCCTGTGGGCATGACCGAGAGGGGCCTTTTAGTCTGAACCACTCTTAGACGATGTTTGACTTGTACTCTGGGGAAAAGGGAAGGCAGTGCCTGAGTTTTAGGGCTGACAGTGCAATCCACCGGGTTTGGGAGAATGTGAAAAGGGATATAAATGATGGGAAATGACTTCTCATTTCCATCTGTGACTCCAACACTATTTCACTCTCCTGTAAACAAGATCATTTCCAGTGACTTTGAACATAAGGGAAAAGGCAAAAAGGACCTTCACTTGCAACTCCTCCCAGAAGGTGTATTTAAGCAAGGCTGATGGAAGCTGAGGGAAAAGCCACTTACTTAGGGTTCAAGTTTAAGACTTTTCCAAATCCATATAATTTTTATACTCTGTTTTCCTAAGTATTTTTCAGCCAATGCTTTTCTTAAAAAAAAAAAAAAAGACCTAAATCTCACAAAATTGATGGGGTTTATCTGGGTGCATCACAGCCATTTCATAGGAAAGCAGACGGATGACAGACAGACGGACAGAGAAGCGAGCTGCTGGGCAGTCTGCCTGGAGGAGCTGGGCTGGGGCGTCAGCAGTCCTGGGCACCTCTGTTCTGGGTCACATCTGGGCAGCACAGCTGTAATGACTATACTGGGTGTCTCAGGAATGGGGTTTCATTCCATTACTCGAATTAATGAACAGCTGTTTCAGGAGTGGTGTTATCTGCCACGGCAAAAGGCAAACAACAAGGAACTGGCGCAAACCTATCTGTCCCTTCCCCCATTATCCCATTACCAAGCACAGTGCCGTCAGCTACCATCATTACCTGTGTCTACACAAGAAAGCAAGTGGTCATGTCACTTGTTATGCTGTTGCATAATTAAGCAGTTAGACATGAACAGGGTTTACCGACGACCCCGGTTTCCCTCCAGACACAGTACTCCAATTTGAGCGCTGAGCATTCCATTCTGTAGGAGTCTATCTTCTTCCAAATGCCCGACACAGGGGCAGTTCTGCTCTCAGGTGTCTACCCAGGAGAATGATGAGATATGTCCACACAAAAACTCATACATGAACGTTCATAGCAGCATTATTCATTGTAGCCAAAAAAACCGGAAGGAACCCAAATGTCCTCTGCCAGATGAGTGGCCAAACAAAATGTGGTTCAGCCACACACTGGAATACTACTCTGCAATAAAAAAGACACAGGCTACAACATGAATGTACCTTACAAACATAAAAGAAGCCCGACACAAATGGTCACATATTGTATGATTCCATGTATATGAAAGGCTCGGAAGAGAGAAGGCCATAGACAGATTGGATTAGTATTTGCTAACAGTTGAGGAGGGGGATGGGGAGTGAGTCCTAGTAGGTACAGGGTTACTTTTTGAGATGACTGATTAAGTGTTCTGAAACTAGACAGGGGTGATAGACACACCACTCTGAACAGACTAAAAGTCACTGACTGAGACTCACAGGGTGAACTGTGAATTATATCTCACTAAAACTTATTACTGAGAATCTGAGACTCCTGACACTAAGTATTGCTAGTACACGTAATGGCTTAGTCTCCCTTCATCCTCTGATCAGTCACGGATTAGCTACTTTATACTTCTCTGGGACGAGTGATAAATACAGGTAGGTAGTCTGGAAAAAATAAGTCTAAGCTAGAATTTTTTAAAAAGCAAAGGATGTGCTCTCAGCAATGTGAAAAGAGAAACACAGGGAGCTGATGTGTGCCCGACAGCAGGTCAGATACAGTTAACAGTCATAACACGCTCGATAAAGATCTGCACGTTTTCAGAAATTTCCAGCACATGGCTACAGAACAAAACCGCCATTTCTGTTCCGGGGCTGTCTTCTCTCCGTACGCAGCACTCTCCAAACGGTGCTGTTACAGGAAGTGGAGTTGATGGCTCTCCCTCCGAGCCGCCCGTGCTCCTCCTGACGTGAGGTGAAAGCCAGTCAGCAGCAGCGTCCCCCTCCCTGCCGCAGGCTCCACACCGCGACCACCAACGGCTACACGTGGGGTCTCCTTAAGCGGAAGGGGTCCAGGCCTTTCCCTCTCTGCCATCACTTCCGTCTGATTGTGCTTTCTGGTTTCTGCACTGAGAACAATAGCCTCTTGCCTGCAGCATATTCCAGGCTTTACTGAGGTCATGATCACTACGTATTCATGGTTGCGTGAGCTTAAATGGATGAGCTTAAAAAGAACAAGAAGCTCAACTTTCTTGCGTTATGTTCACAACGTGAAAAATAGACCAGGATAATGGCTAGTTTTCAAGGTCTTTGGCTAACGTTTCGTGGATGAACTGTAAGGTTCGCTGGTACAGAAAAGCATCCTTCGTCTTTGGCTTACAAATGTTTAAATGGTTAACGTCCACAGGAATCAGCTCCCCGATGCCTAAATCTGAGGAGAACAAAAATGTCAACAGAAGCACAGTACAAATTGAAGCTCCCTCCCCGTCAATACTGCACGAAGCCAGATGGGAGTCCCCAATGGTGATTTGGTTCTGACAAGGCAGACTTAGGTCCCTGGGTGGCACGAATGCTTGAGGGCTAGCCAAAAGGCTGGTGGTCTGAACCCACCCAGAAATGCCTCCACAGAAAGGCCTGGTGATCTGCTTCCAAGAGGTCAGAGCCTTGGAGCCCCACGGAGTGGTCCTCTCTGCATTCCCGGGGTCCCCGGAGGCTGAGCGCCTCGCAGACAACTCACAACAGGAGGCTTTTAAAAGGCAAAGAACTCGAGGATTGCCTGAGTTACACTTGATGCATCGTGTAAGAGTGGGTTCTAGTGTGTAAGAGTGGGTTCTAGTGTGTAAGAGTGGGTTCTAGTGTGTAGATGCAATTTTATGCTTCTCCTACGTTGTCTGTCTGTGTCCCGGCTACTTCCTAAGGGAACAGAGCCGGAGCTGCCACACCTGCAGGCTGGGACCGAGTTATCCCACACTTCTTTCAACCAGAGTTCACACCGTTAACTTTACGATGAGCTCCCTTGTTGAGAAAGGGACCATGCGGTCTATTGCCACACCCACGATCACACCATGGTGGGATGGGCTGTTTGGCACTTGACTGCCTGAGAGGCTTAGAAGCATCTCATGCTTCAGTCTAGCAAACTCCACCTCAACAAAAGTGACGAGAGGTACCAGTGGGCAAGCGAGGGGCGGGCTGCGGGTAGGGGTTGCTGTAAAGCAGAAGAGCCTCTTGGGGCCACAAGAGAAGGGGCAGCAGAGGGAGGCGAGGCTCGGACAGCAGCTTTGTTTTTGCTTCAAGCTTCCAGAATTGTTTAACATCTGGCAAACGTTCCTTAAACTCTTACGTTCCTCAACTACAGGCAGTTCCCCGGGTTATGAAGGAGCTCTGTCCCTAACCACTCCCCTTCAGAATTTGTAGGGAAGTTGGCACACATGCATATAGTTCTTACTTAGCCTGACTTTATTTAGTGTAAGAAAGGAACTCCAGTGGCGCAGTGCCCAAGGCATGGGACTGCTAACCAGAAGGTTGGTGGTTCAAACCCACCAGCCACTCCATGGAAGGAAGACTGGGCAATCTACTTCCGTACAGATTTACCCCTGGGAAACCCAAAGGGGGTCACTATGAGTAGGACTCAACACTGTGGCAGTGAGTTTGGTTTGGTCTGGTCTGGTCTGGTCCGGTTAGTGCCAGAACAGGTGCAAGCCTTTTCAGTGATTTAAAAGCTGCAAGTGCAGCAGGTGAAGGTGACAGTGAGGAAGAGTTTGTCACCAGCAGAAGCTGGTTTGATTGGCTCACAGTGAAGCCAGATTTACATTACATTACAGGGCAAGGCGCTGTCCATGGTTCAGACGTTCGTAACCCAGGGCCTGCCTGTATTAAACGGTTAACTCCTCACACAATGGCATACTACTTTGAGGTAAAAAGCTTCTTTAAGATCTAGTACAAAGTATGAAATAGTTTTCATTTATTGAGATAATATACAGTGCCACTCAGATAAAATTCACTCTGCAGACTGAAGAACCACCCTGTCCTTGGCTGCCAGGGGCTCACAGCAGGGCTGAGTGCCAAAAACCTCAGAGGTGACCCGAAAAGAGGTGCTGTCCAAGCTGAGAAGTTATCCAGGTGGGGAAAGCATTGCAGGTTATGGAATTCATGGCGTGTCTGCTATGCACAGAGTAATAGTCATGGTGGTTAAGTGCCCCTGAGTCAGTTCCGGGTCACAGTGACCCTACAATACAATAGAATGGAACACTATCCTGCACCATCCTTGCTATGCCCGAGCCCACTGTTGGAGCCACCGTGCCAGTCCCTCTCATGAGGGTGTTCCTCTGTTTCACTAACCCTCTACCAAGCAGGCTATCTTTCTCCAGGGCCTGATTCCTCCTTTAACATGATCGAAGTGTGAGAGATGAAGTCTGCCCAGTCTCATGCATGGTAACCGAGCAGGCTGGCAAGTGTCCAGAGTTAGGCCCTAGCCTCAAAGAGCCAGCGGCCGCAGGTCCTGGCATTTCCCTCAGCCCCATGACCATGAACAAACTGTGTGCTGATGCTGGTTTCTCCGATGGAGTCTTGGCTGTCTGTATACTCCCCTATATCTTCCATTTACGAACGCTTCCATGCCTTTGCTTGACTTTTGCAAGTTTCTCCCCACAGCTGTCAATCCAGTAAATGGAGCCCCTTTCAAACCAGCTGACAGAAGGGTCTGACTCTTCCCTTAAATCACGTGGAGTCAGCCTATTGACCTCTGCCATCTAGGCAGTTAAATGAAAGGAGGGGTGGGGTAAGGCCAAGGTTTTATGTCTGCAGAGACAGTTTCATCTGTGGCTGAAAAGAATAACAGAATCTAAGTCTTCATAAACCTGCCTCCTAGCACTGGGAAACCGGATGTACAAGCTGACATTTACAAGTCACCAGCAGGCACCACCAGGAAATACCTGCTGACTCCACTGGCACCACGTGGAGTTTAATCATGCTGCCGATACGGGTTGGTAGCGTTTCCACAAAACTCAGCACCTGGAAGTTTCTGTCTTTAGCAAACTCCAGGAAGTCCTCCTGTAGCGCTTTCAGTGCAGGCGAGTCTATAAAACCAGACAGAACAAGAGCAAGGTGAGCGCTACAACAGAATGCGGCAACTTCCCAGCGGCGAGAAGAAGGGCAGGGTCTATTCAAGATGGCGGCTTGAGGGCATGTTTACCGTCTCCTCCCAGGAAGCCCTCAGGAGTCAAAGCACTGAAGAGCTGAGAGGAGAGTCACCCAAGAAGGGTTCCCTCATGTTCCTGCTGACAGGAAACAGTGACCCAGGGACGTGGGCTGGGAGGCTACCCAACCCACGCCCACCCAGCCTGTCTACAATTCACAGAGGGCTTGTGCCCGCCTACTCCCACGTTCTCACATATGGAAGGCAGCCAGGAAGTCCCAGACTGTAGAGAAAAGCCTACCGTCTAAACGGGACAGATAAGGTAAGCCAACAGAACACGGCCACAGAGGAGGCAGCACTAAATGAAGACACAAAAGGAACTATTAAAACCCTCTCGTTAGGTCGCAGGGGACATCATGCTCAATCAGCACAACAAAAACACTGTTCTGCGTCCTACCTTGCTGAGCAGTGACTGGGGTCTCAAAAGCTTGGTGAAGCCACTTAAGATGCAACTATTGGGCTTTCCTTGTCCCGAGCAAAGAGTGAGGAAAATGAAATACACATGGAAACAATTAGTACAAAGGACTAATGGACCACATGAACCCCAGCCTCCATGACCTTGAGACCAGAGGAACTAGATGGTGCCTGGCTATCACTGCCACTCACAAAAGGGTTAAAATAGGAGATCCTGGATAGAACAGGAGAAAAATGTGGAATGAAATTAAAAAAAAAAAAAAAAAAAAAAAAACCCACAAACAAGACCAGGATTATAGTCTGAACAGACTGGTTAGATACCCAAGACTATGGCCCTGAGTCACCATTTGGGCCTGGAATTAGATTCACTCCTGTAGCTAACTCTCAGCCAAACAACAGATAGGACAATGAACTGAACAGCCACACCAGGGAGATGGTCTCCTGAGAACAGTCAACCCTGGGAGATCAGCAGGGCAGCATCTGCACAGGGAGAAAGGCAGGGAGGCAGGAACGCCCAGGCAAGAAGGACGGAGGGAAGGAGTGGCCACAGAAGAGAGCTGCTACACCACAGAAATGTACCCAGTGTCACAAAACAAAATGCGGATGAACTGTTGAATGGCAAACAAATCTGCTTTGTAAAATGTCACCCCAATCACAATACAAAGTTTTAAAAAAACCCTTTCATTAGTACTCCTGGAGCGTTCTGAAGAGAGAACACATCTGCCAATAACAACAGGCTGCACAGAAAATCTCTTGGGAAATAAAACGCGACTGCAAAATAAACAAACCGCCACAGACGGCTTAGAAGATAAAGTCAAGGAACGCTCCATAACACAGAGTAAAGCAGAAACACGAGCCAAAGGCAAGTGCGTGCTGAGGCTCAAGCCGAGACCCCCCATTCCGACGAAGAGGGGTTCGTGAGAGAGAAGATGCATCGTCAGAACAGAGTGCTGCTTGAAATCTTTCCGAGATGCTGCAAATCTCAAAAGCTTGTCGTTATCTTTACGGCCGATGATTTCCCAAACTCGGGAAAAGTGCACGCTGTTGGTTTTCAGAGTGATAGCTCAACCAAAGCAGCACCTAACTTTCCCGTTTTAAACCCAGCGTCCCTGCTGACAGAGGCAGGCGTTACCCTTGCTGAGCTCTTTGACTTCCAAGGAGGGAAAGAGCAGGTAGCGGTAATTAACGGAGTACTCAGCCAGCCGCGAGCCGTGGTGGGGGACACTGTAGAAAACCATCCCCCTGGTCTTGTTGACCAGTGCGCTCAGCTCCGGCTTCTTAGAGGCTTCCAGCAGCATCTTCTTGACCAGGAGACCTAGACACGGAAGAACAACACACCAGTTATCTTCCTTCCCTCCACTATTCATACCTAGAGATGCTGTCTCTGAAAACGCCTGAACAAGAACCCACTGTAGTGACATGAGCAGCCTGAAGGTGTCAGCCTCAGTGACGCCCTGCTCCTCTAGGCTGCGTGCTACGTGCCACAGGCAGGGGAGAGCCAGAGCCTGCTCCCCCGTCAGGGCGCACTGTCCCTGGGGAGGCGGACACTGGACCGAGGAGAACTGCCCCAGAGGGCTTCCAAGGCTGCAATCTTTGCGGAAGCAGAGGGCCCTGTATTTTACAGCAGAGCTGTTGGTGGGTTCAGAGTGCCGACCTTTCTGTTAGCAGCCAAACCCTTAACCGCTGGGCCACCAGGGCTCCATAAATGGAGGAGGAAGGGGCAGTGGTCTCCCCACCCTGCCCACGCAGCCCTCTACGGAGCACAGCGCTGATGTTCTAACACGCACCCACAACACTCGCCTGCCACAGAAGACACTCCCAGGAAGGCGTCTGCTCCTCCAGCCCCACCCTGAAGAGCCCACAGTGAGGCCCAAGGGTTATGCGTGTAACCTGTGAGGACACACGGACTACATCCACCTTCCTCCCTGCAGGAAGCCCGCCTCCAGTCAGCCGCCTGAGCATGTCATGAGCCACACCAGGGCTGCAGCCAGAGACCCTCCCTTCCAAGGCGGGTGGCGAACCAGAGTGCACTGCGGGGCAGAGGGTGGGACAGAGCAGGAAGCGTGGCTTCAGAGCAAGCGTGAGGTCTTGGGGAGCAGAGAGCAGACACGGAGGGGGTGTGGTGATGGACACTGAAGCCGCATGGACTGAGGGGGAGAGGGAGACCTGCGGGCGGGGGGAGTCCTGGCAGAGTGAGGGCAGAGGAAAGCCATGAGGAGGAAAGAGAGGGGCCGGGGGGGTGGAGAGCGGGTCTGGGGGGTATGCTGGAAGCTGCTTCTGATGTTTAGTCCTCATTGCCACATGAACCCATGAAGCTGTCAGACTCCTGTCTCTTTTGTAAGGTTTGTTCCTAATTGCCCTCTTCTAGAAAAACCAGCAGTGGGGAGGAGGCAGTAGCCACACCTCCCAGCCTCCGTTAGTCTGGGAAATAGAGTTGCTCTGTAGTGGCTCTGTGTTTACGTACACAGCTCCCTCTCACGTGTGCAAAGGCAGTCACCGCAGGCTGCCTGCCACGCTGCTCCCAGCCTCACAACACTCGCACTCCAGATGAAGCTGCACTCACCCCCCATGCTGTGTGACACCCAGATCATGGGCCTGTCCCCGACACCAGCCGCTTGGAGCTTCCTAAGGAGTTCGTTGCTTCTGAAGGCGATGGACTTTCTGAACAAAAGGAAAACAGCACGCGTGACAAAAGGCCGCTGACCCCAACTCTGCTGCCCAGCTTTTCAAATCAAGAACCTTCCACTTTGTATTGGATTACTGCTGCACGAGTTCTGAGGTGGGAATAAGCCCTCTGCTTAGTTTCCGAAATTGCTAACCCTCATGTAATGAGGAATACCTCAGCCCCAAACAAGCCGCTCATTTAACAAGTGTTGTTTGAGCATCTAGCATATGGATGGTCCTTTTCACTGGGTAAACCGGCAGCTCCCACTGACCACCTGACCTCTGGGGACCGTGTATGTCCTGAGTCGTTCCCAGGCCTAATGAGGACAGAGTGCCGGAAGACTGCCTGACCGCTGAGGACTGCGTACAGCCTGCCTCATGCCCAGGCCTGACAGGGAAAGTCACTGAAGGCTGCCTGTCACTGTGGTGAGTTCGCCTCCATGAAGTCAGCCATCACGGCTATTTAGTTCAACTTGCCTTTTCCCTGCAAACATCAAGGCTTCATCATTTGGGTTTATTATTTAGAGATACCAGAAAGCTATGAGAATCACAGAATTCAGACCAAGCAGTTCTCAAGCTGAAAGAGAACTTTGAAACAATCTAGTCTGATAGCTGCAAGCTTTTCACAGCAGACTCCTTTCCTCGAGACACAGGAGTCACCGGAGTCACTCAGATGGAACAGGATGGAGACCTGGAGTCTGCCTACTGGCCCTCTGTGCCCCCTTCCTCCGACACCTGCGTGGGGTCTGTTCCAGAGATCACACTTGGATAACAGTGACTCAGAACACTCTTGATTTGTGGACAACACTCCCCAGGGACGTCAAGTGGCTTGTCTAAGGTCACACAGTGAGTCGGAGGTAGAATCAGGCAACAGTGTCGGCCTTGGACTCAGAAACCCAGGGTCGCTCCTTGGGTACAGAGTTGGCATATATGACATACGAGTGACCTATGCAGCTGACCTGCATGGCCCGCTCCCTTTGCTTTCTTTAGCTGGTAAGATCGTGGACACAACAGCAGAAGACAGCACGTGTACTGGCGGAAAAGGGGGACTTGCTCTCTCATCCATGGCCCTTACTGTGAGGACAGCTGTCCATGAACCATGTCAGGAGCCAACAGTGACAAACATCTGAGCCTTACACTATTGCACTGTTCCTTATAGCTAACCCCTTCCTTCTAGAAGGAAGAGAAAAAAGATAGGTTCGTTTTTCTTAAGCAAATCCTGTCTGGCATCGAAAGACAAAAACCTCTCCCAGGCAGAGGAGCCACTGTGGTGGAGTCTCCTCGATCGAGTCCCCACCCTCCCAGTCTGACGGTGCCCCGTTACCTTTCCATAGGGCACCGTGCTCGCCAGTCACTGAGGTTGGTGTCGTACTCCACAGATATGATGCGGAGGGCAGGGCAGTCTCTTGCTAACCACGTCTACATGAAGCAAAAGGGACAACACACAGGAATTTGCACGGTACTATCACCCCCTTGTTGCTGTGAGGTGCTGTCAAGTCGGCTCCGACTCACAGGCCCTATGAACAACAGAACGGAACACTGCCCAGTACTGCACCAGCCGCACGATCGTTGCTGTGTTGGAGCCCATTGTTGCAGCCACTGGGAGCTCTGGTGGCATAGTGACTAAGGCATTTGAGTGCTAACCAGAAGCCTGGTAGTTCAAACCCACCAGCCACTCCTTGGAAAGAAAGTCGGGCAATCTACTTCCATAGAGATACTGCCTCAGAAACCCAGTTGCCGCAGGCACTGTGTCTATCCTTCTCGAGGTTCTCTCCCTTCACTGACCCTTCACTTTACCAAGCATGATGTCCTTCTCCAGGGACTGGTCACTACTGATAATGTGACCAAAGTACACGAGACAAGGTCTTGCCACCCTTGCTGCTAAGGAGCATTCTGGCTGTACTTCTTATAGGACAGATTAGTTCATTCTTCTGGCAGTCCATGGTATATTCAATATTCTTCACCAACACCACAATTCAAATGCATCAGTTCTTCCATGGTATTTCTATACGAGACAACTGCAAATGCCACAGCTTGGGTCAGGTGCACCTTAGTTCTCAAAGTGACATCTTTGCTCTTTACCACTATAAAGAGGTCTGCTGCACCATATTTTTCCAATAATTCATTTGATTTCTTGACTGGTTTTTTCATTGGTTCATAAGCAACCTATATGTTCGTAAGGAACCCCAAGTCACTGAATACTAGGAGCCACTGTGACTAGAACCAGAAGCCAACATAGTGCCTATGAGCAGTAAAGCCCACAGCCTAACAGTAAAGCCCACAGCCTAACAGTGATATCCTTTTGTTGATTGCTTAGCAAGGGTCAGCCACTGCCTCAGGCAATTTAAGAATTGTAACCTGGGTTAAGTGAGCACTATAATCCCAGAGACAGTTGTTCAAAAAAAAACAAGGGGATACTGCATGGTTTAAAATCAGGAAGGTGAGCATCAGGGTTGTATCCTTTCACCATACTATTCAATCTGTATGCTGAGCAAATAAACTGAGAAGCTGGACTATATGAAGAAGAAAGTGGCATGTGGATTGGAGGAAGACTCATTAATAGCCTGAGATATGTAGATGATACAACCTTACTTGCTGAAAGTGAAAATGACTTGAAGCACTTACTGATGAAAATTAAAGACTATAGCCTTCAGTATGCCTTACACCTCAATATAAGGAAAATAAAAATCCTCCCAAGTGGACCAATAAGCTACATCATGATAAATGGAGAAAAGATTGTTGGAGCCCATTGTTGCAGCCACTGGGAGCTCTGGTGGCATAGTGACTAAGGCATTTGAGTGCTAACCAGAAGCCTGGTGGTTCAAACCCACCAGCCACTCCTTGGAAAGAAAGTCGGGCAATCTACTTCCATAGAGATACTGCCTCAGAAACCCAGTTGCCGCAGGCACTGTGTCTATCCTTCTCGAGGTTCTCTCCCTTCACTGACCCTTCACTTTACCAAGCATGATGTCCTTCTCCAGGGACTGGTCACTACTGATAATGTGACCAAAGTACACGAGACACGAGGATTTCATTTACTTGGAAATATAATCAATGTTTATGGAAGCAGTAGTCAATAATTCAAACAACATACTGCATGGCACAAATCTGCTGCAAAAGATCTCTTTAATGTATTAAGAAATAAACAGGTCACTTTGAAGACTAAGGTGCACCTGACCCGAGTCACTGGCTTGTCAATTGCCTCATATGCATGTGAAAGCTGTACAATGAGTAAGAAAGACCATGGAAGAATTGATGCACTTGAATTGTGGTGCTGGCGAAGAATACTGAACATACAATGTACCACCAGAAGAATGAACAAATCTGTCCTGGAAAAGGTGCAGCCAGAATGCTCCTTAGAAGTGAGAACGGCCAGACTTCGTCTCTCTACTTTGGTCATTTTATTAGAAGGGACCGTTCCCTGGAGAAGGACATCATGATTGGTTAAAGTAGAGGGACAGTGAAAAGGGGGATGGCCCCAGCGAGACAGACTGACACAGGGGCGGCAACAGGGAGCTCAAGCATAGCAGTAACTGGCAGGCTGGTGCAGGGCCAGGCCGTGTTTCACTCTGTTGTACACGGGGTTGCTACAACGCAGCCCTGACTCGGCAGCACCCAACAGCAGCAGTTTCCATGGGCATTAAGTATAGCTCCAAGTCAAATGAAATCCTTACGAACATCAATCTTTACTCCGTTTAGTATGCTGTTGCTTATTGGTCCAGTCATTAGGATTTTTGTTTTCTTCATGGTGAGGTGTAATCCATACTGTAGTTCTTCAGTAAGTGCTTCAGTCCTCTTCACTTTCTGCAAGTAAGGTTGCATCATCTGCACATCTCAGGCTGTTAATAAGTTTTCCTCCAATCCTGATGCCACGTTCAGCTTTTTGGATTATTTGCTTAGTATACAGACTGAATAAATACAGTAAACAATGACAATTCCGACACACACCTTTCCTGATTGTAAACCACATGATACCCTCTTGTTCTGTTTGAACGACTGCCTCTTAGTGTATAGAGAGGTTCCGCATGAGTACAATTAAGTGTTCTAGAATTCACATTCTTTGTAATGTTATCTATAGTTTGTTATGACACACACAGTTGCATGCCTTTGCATAGTCAGTAAAACACAGGTCAACATTTTTCTGGGATTCTCTGCTTTCAGCCAAGATCCATCTTATAGCAATGATATCCCTGGCTCCACATCCTCTTCTGAATTTGTCTTTAATTTCTGGCAGTTTCTTCTCAATGTGCAGCTGCAACCATTTTTGAATGATCTTCGGCAAAATTTTACTTGTGTATGATGTTATCTGATAACGCCCACATTCCACTGGGTCACCTTTCTCTGGGACGGGCACATATATGGATTTCTTCCAGTAGAATGGCCAGGTAATTAATTGTCTTCCAAATTTCCTGGCACTTGACACAGACAAGCGAGCCCTTCTAGCATTGCATCGTTTGCTGAAACATCTCAGTTGGTTCCTGCAATTCCCAGACCCTTGTTTTTTTGCTAATCCCTTCAACACAGCTTGAACTTCTTGCTTTAGTACTGTGGTTCCTGATCACATTCCACTTCCTGAAATGGCTGAATGTGGACCAATTCTTTTTGGTATACTGACTCTGTGCATTCTTTCCATCTTCTTTTGATGCTTCCTGTATTGTTCAATATTTTGTCCGAAGAATAATTCAATATTGCAACTTGAGGCTTGAATTTTCTCTGTAGTCCTCTCAGCTTGAGAAATGCTGAACATGTTCTTCCCCTTTGGTTTTCTAACTCCCAGGTCCTTGACCATTTCATTAAAATACTTTACTGTGTTTTCTCAAGCTGCCCTTTGAAATCTTCTGTTCAGCTCTTTTATGTTATCTTTTCCTCCTTTTGCTTTAGCTGTTCTCTGTTCAAAAGAGTCTGATAATAGTGATAGTGTCACCATGGACCTGGATCTACCATCTTTGTTCTTCAGTGTTATCAGAGGAGACATGTAAGCAATTTTTCTACTTGACAAAGACTCTGTGAATTCTAAATAAGAAGTAGTAGTTCAAAGCCCTGGAAATTATTCACACGTGTGGGAAAAATCAAAACCCTACCATTGCCATTGAGTTGGTTCCAACTCATAGTGATCCTACAGGACACAGTAAGGCTGCCCCAAAAGGTTGCCAAGGCTGTAAATCTTTACGGAAGCGGACTGCCACATCCTTCTCCTGTAGAGCAGCTGAGTGCTTAAGCACTGTACCAACAAAGCTCCTCATTCAGACATACAGGCAACACCAATTTAAACGAACTTTTAGATAAATTCCATTTGATGAATTCACTCCAGGTGGGGTTCCTTTTATATTCTTTGGAAGGCATAATGTCAATGAAATCCAAAGGAAGCAGAGTCATCTGGATGACTTCACTCCTGAAGGATGTCTCTGAGCAGTCTCTAGAAGAACAAATGTCAAAGGAATCCGGAGTGTGCAGAACTGTCCCTTCAAAGTCTGTTTTCATACTCATTGCAACCAGAGAACCTGCTGTCATGCATGTGGACTATGTCCCTGCTGTGCACTGTTATAATAATTGAAACCAGAGCTAGCTATCATGCATACGGACTATGTCCCAATATACACTGTTATAATCATTAAAACCACAAAACTAGCTATCACGCATACGGACTATGTCCCTTATACGCTGTTATAATCATTAAAACCAGAGAACTAGCTATCATGCATATGGACTGTGTCCTGATATACACTGTTACAATCATTAAAACCAGAGAACTAGCTATCACGCATACGGACTATGTCCCTCTATACACTGTCATAATCATTAAAACCACAGAACTATCACGCATATGGATTATGTTCCTCTATACACTGTTATAATCATTAGAACCACAGAACTAGCTATCATGCATATGGAGCTCTGGTAGCATAGTGCCTAAGGCACTTGACTGCTAACCAGAAGGCTGGCGGTTCAAACCCACCAGCCACTCCTCGGAAGGAAGGTTGGGCAGTCCTACTTCTGTAGTGATACTGCCTCGGAAACCCAAGGAGGGGTCACTGTGAGTCGGGGCCGACTCGATAGCAAAAAACAACAACAACAACATACACTGTTATAATCATTAAAACCACAGAACTAGCTATCATGCATATGGATTATGTCCCTCTATACACTGTTATGATCATTAAAACCAGAGAACTAGCTATCATGCATACGGACTATGTCCCGATATACACTGTTATAATCATTAAAACCACAGAATTAGCTATCATGCATATGGATTCTGTCCCAATATACACTGTTATAATCATTAAAACCACAGAACTAGCTATCATGCATACGGACTATGTCCCGATATACACTGTTTAATCATTAAAACCACAGAATTAGCTATCATGCATATGGATTCTGTCCCAATATACACTGTTATAATCATTAAAACCACAGAACTAGCCATCATGCATACGGACTATGTCCCGATATACACTGTTATAATCATTAAAACCACAGAACTAGCTATTATGCATACGGACTATGTCCCTCTATACGCTGTTATAATCATTAAAACCAGAGAACTAGCTATCACACATATGGACTATGTCCCGATATACACTGTTAAACTCATTAAAACCACAGAACTAGCTATCACGCATATGGATTCTGTCCCTATACACTGTTATAATTATTGAAACCAGAGAACTAGTTATCATGATAGACATGAACTATCACTGGCCCTTACCCCAGGTTTTGCTCTAGTTTATTTAGTGGAATATTCTCTTTTGCAGTCACAGACTGTACCCTAATCACAAAACACATGGCACAGGGCAGCAAGGCCACTGTTCATATAACATGTCACCAGTGTCCCTAAGAGAGAAAAAAGAACTGCACAGGAAAAAAATCCTTATAGAAAGAAAAAATAAGCAAGTCCCACTGAGGGCCGCAAAGGCCAGTGGCCAGGAGTGTGCTGGGGAGCTTGGCCGCCAGGGTTGGTGGCTCCCTTACCTTGGGCCAACAGGTGGTATACCTGTCTTCATCTTCTGAAGCGTTTTCCATCAGAACCTGGTCGCGGTCCTGCTGGCGCCATGTTCTGAAGGCTGCTCCCATAAGGCCATGAATAAAAAGGACATCGGCTTTAATGGGCTGACTGATGGGAGAGAGTTTTAAAAAGAAGCAGAATAAATGTATTACTGCTTTGGTAAGACTCTGCCTGGCACTCTCTGGGGCTGAGGCCTAGCAGTCTGTGACCTGAAATCAAAGTTCATTCAGGCAAGCGTGTGGGCATGGGGTGACTGGGGACCCACTCCCCACACCTGCCAGTCAGACTGAGCCAGTCAACTGTGTCTATACTTAGTGAATGATGACATGACAGGTATCACAGGTCACCCTCCAGAGAATGCCATGGAACAATCCCCAAATCGATGACAGTACTTGAGAAATTACATGAGGACAGTTCTGTTACGGCACAGAGTCAGAACCAAGTCCACGGCCATTAACAACAGCAAATGTAGATTCAAAGTCAGGCACACTAAAGCGACTCTCGAAATGTCACCCAGGAAGAGCACTCGCTCATCAGAAGTACCGACAGTGACATTTCAGAGTGAAATAGTCTTTCTTTGGATGTGACACTTCAAAAATTGCAGATCGTGTATTTTTTTGCAAGTTACATTACCTGCACAATCACACAACTCACAAGACACTGCCATGTATCTTATTTACAATTTGGAGTTAACCAGATAACCCATTTTTCCAATTTAAAAAACACATTAAAAAATACTCTTGTTATTTTCAGAAGTATTTTTTAAAGTGCCTAACACAAACCCAAGAGCTAGGTCATTTTTTTCCACGTGGTCCCTTCATGTTTATGGTCTCAGTGATGGCACCATGGACACGGTGCCCAGGACCAGTCTGAAGCAGCACAGTCAGGCTGACCACGACTCCCTCCTGCACCGTGTGCTTACACGCCTGCACTCCCTTTCTCCTTGAATTCTGGGCCCTGCAGATGAGACTGGCCTGTCTCCTTCCCATTCCAGTCAGTCACTACATGCCACGTCAGTTACTAACTCAGATCTAAGTGAAAAACGCCCTGCAACAAGGAAAAAACAAGCGTCACCCATGAGAACCACAACTTGATGGCTCTGCCTCGTTTCTCCTGATCTTACAAGTTTTCCGCCTTGGGCAGGGTGCAGATTTACCATTTTTCTATCCCCCTCTAATAGTGGAAAATAGTTGCATTTTCCTTTTCTCACAAGTCTCCACCTTATAGAGTTTCTGGCTCTCACAGGTTTCACTATATAAGAGGTGAGTGCAATGACCTTCAAATGCCCTCAGTGTAAAAATAACCCATAATTCAGCCAGTTTGCATGGTCTCACAACACCTGTCACTCTTCCTAAGCTATTCTGGACACTACGTTCAGTAAAGCACTGGACTTTCTAGAAGGTCCTTAAAAACCAAACCAAAAACCCATTGCCATGGAATTGATTCCGACTCACAGTGATCCTACGGGACAGAGTAGAGTCTCCCCATAGGGCTTCCGAGGCTACAAACCTTCATGGAAGCAGACCACGTCTTTGTACTGTAGAACAGCTGGCGGGTCCAAACCACCAACCTTGTGGTTAGCAGCTGAGCACTTAAGCACTGCACCACCAGAACTCCTTACAAGGTCCTTGGCATAGTTAAATTACACCAAAATCAATGGGAAAGGTGAGCCCTCAGGCTCCCCACAGGCAGGCTGCCGCAGCCTCGTACCTGGTGCGACACTGTGGGTGCAGCAGGTACACGCCGTCCGCGTACTTCTCCTGCACGGTTTCTCGGTCCAGGTTGGCTAAGGTTCTGGCGGCGTGTGAGGCCTCCATAATCTGCTGGGACTTCATTGCTTCTGCCATCAGGGAAACCCAGCCTGCGGGGACAGACAGACATCCCCTCGATACTGACATGACAAGGTTGAAGTTGTTGCAAGAGGTTTGAACCCAAAGGGCGGTGGAAGACAGCCAAACTCCAGCACACCTGCCAAGTGGAGAAGCCAGGCCGCCCCACCCAGCCCAGAGCCCCAAGGCACGAGTCCATGATGGTTCCGACCAGAGGCCACTAAGGGGATCTCAAAGGAGGTACGAGGGACGGACTCGAGCAGACTGGAAACGGAACAGCCAAGCACAACTGAAGAGAATGCTGACACACTGTGAAAACGCCACTAGCGTAATTTTGTACAGAAATTGTCAAACGGGAACATGATTTACTGTGTACACTTTAACCAGAAGCACTGTAAAATACTGTCTAAAAAGAGAAGGTCTGAGGGGTTCAGGAGCTATTTCCTTTATTTAGAAAATCTAACAAAATTACTAGATGAGGTTCACAAGGTAACGAGGTATCGTGATTCAGTGTTTCAGCAAGAACGATGTCTGTGGGCCGATGGAGCGGTGTCACCCCAACCAGTCCTATCAGAGCCTCAGGACAAATGGGGAAAGTCATTCTTTCTACACAGACGTGGAAAGATACATCAAACAGGGTCACCGCCTCGTAGGAAGAAGACTCCTTTCCTGCATCCATGTTTCTAAAGTATTGATGACAATTTCCTCCTGTATTATTCACATAATCCAGAATAAAACAGAGCCTGGGCCTTGAGGGCAGACTTAGGGCCTCGGTGAAGTGACTTTCCTCCGAGTGGGAGGAGGGCTTGAATGGCTTCACATCTATAACAGCACCTGGACCTTTCCCAGATGGCAGTTGTCCCACATCCTCCTCCCACTCTTCGTGACAGAAATGTTGAGGGTCGTCATGACGAAGAGAGGCCAGTATTTAATAACCCCAAAACAGCTCTCGGCCCACTCACTGTGTAACGTTCAGATGTATAACATCAGAAAATTCCTTTCAAAATCTCTTCAAGAACCCTCTTATAACACGTGTAAATTCTACCAAGAGATGGAGACAGGTGTGTTGCTAGTATGTACAACAACACGTCTCACTGCTATTCTTAATGTTTTCAGTGGCCAGTTGTTTCAGAAGTGGATGGCACCATCCTTCCTCCCAATCTGTCTTAGTCTGGAAGGTCTGCTGAAACCTGTCTACCGTGGGGGACCCTGCTGGCATTTCAGATACAACACAGCTCCTCACATCACAGCAACACACAAGCCACTCAGTACAACAAACTGACAGGCAAGTGGAGAGGCTCTTTTGACTACATCTGTGGCAAGAGGTGATGGAGAAGCTCACTATCATCAATCAGAACAAGGCCAGGAGCTGACTGTGGAAACTGCTCACATGCAAGTTCATGTTGAAGCTGAAGACAATTAAAACAAGTTCAAGAGCCAAATATGACCTTGATTATATCCCACCTGAATTTAAAGACCATCTGAAGATGAGATTTGACACGCTGAACACCAGTGACGGAAGACCAGATGAGTGGTGGGATGAGATTAAGAACATCATGCCTAAGAAAGCAATAGTTCATTTAAATGACAGTAAAAGAAGAAAAGACCAAAATGCATATGAGAAGAGATTCTGAAACTTGCTCTAGAATGGAGAGTAGCTAAAGCAAATGGATAATGCTGAAATAAAAGAGCTAAGCAGACTTCAAAGGGTGGCTTGAGAAGCAAAGTCAAGTATTATAATGAAACGTGCAAACACCTGGAGCTAGAAAACCAATAGGGAAGAACACGCTCAGCATTCATCAAGCTGAAAGAACTGAAGAAAAATTCAAGCCTCGAGTTGTAATACCGAAAGATTCTTTGAGCAAAGTATTGAATGATGCAGGAAGTATCAAAAGAAGATGAAACGAATACAGAGTCAAGAAAGCAAATGATGCATTGCACTGGGAAAATCTGCTGCAAGAGACCTCTTGAAAGTGTTAAAGAGCAAAGATGTCACTTTGAAGACTAAGGTGCACCTGACCCAAGCCATGATATTTTCAATTGCCTCATATGCACGTGGAAGCTGGACAATGAATAAGGAAGACTGAAGAAAAACTGATGCATTTGAACTGCGGTGCTGGTGTAGAATACTGAAAACGCCATGGACTGCCAGAACACTGAACACTTCTGTCCCAGACGAAGCACAGCCAAATGTTCCTTAGAAGTGAGAATGCCTATACTTCATCTCACCTACTTTGGTCATGCTGTCAGAAAAGACCGTTCCCTGGAGAAGAATGTCATGCTTAGTAGAGGGTCAGGGAAGAAGGGGAAGACCCTTGATGAGATAGACTGACACCCTGGCTGCAAAGATGGGCTCGAGCACAGCAAGGACTCTGAGGACGGGGCAGGGTCCAGGCAACGTTTCCTTCTGTTGTCCACAGGGTCGCTGGGAGTTGCAGCTGACTCGACACCACCTAACCACAACAACCTAGCTTTATTTTGAATGAGGAGTCATGAGGGAAGAAACATGCAAGCATGGCACAAGCCGTTCCTGTGACATTTATAGGTGACCAAGTACTTCCAGCATGCCAGAGGCTCCTGAACTGTGAGAAAATATACTTCTGTTCTTTACAGCTACTTACTCGTGGTGGTTCTGTTACAGCAGCACCGGGGAGCTAAGACAGGCAGGAATTCCCAACAGGGAAGAGGCAAGGCACGTGAGTGGGCCTTAGTGCTCCCTCAAGTTAACTTAACAACCACAAGTGGGCGGGTGGGAATGACAAGAGTGAACCGCTGTGCAGCTGGACAGCACTTCTTGGTTAAGCAGCTCTGGTGGCACCATGGTTAAGGCATCCTCCAGCTGCTAACCAAATGGTCAGCGGTTCCAGCCCACCACCTACTCCATGGGAGAGAGACGAAGCAGTAGATTGCAAAGACTGACAGCCCTGGAAACTCTCTGGGCGGTTCTACTCCACCCTACAGGGTTGCCATGAGTCAGAATCGACTTGATGGCAGCGGGATGGGTTTGGTGTCTCTTGGTTAACCGACCATCTCGACAAGTACTTCGGCCATCTTGTTAGCTGCCCGTCATGGCAGACACTGCTCGCCCCTGGTGGCCTACACACTGGCCGTGAGCTGTGGGCTGGCCACATGTCTCAGCAGCTCCCTGCTCCTGCGTCAGCACCTGCTCTAAGGACCCACAACTAACACAAAGCAGAACCTCGACGCCACTGAAGGTGTGTTGTGAGGGGCGGAGCTGGAAGAGGGAGAACCGAGGACCGTGCCCCCAAACACCCGGTATCCACAGGCGTTACCTGAGTGAAGGATTGCAGGATGAAGACGTTCGTTGAGAGCCATGTTCCCGAGGACGCGCATTATGTTCCTCTGCACTTTGGGGCAGTCCCTGTACAGCTGGTACAGCCTCTGAAGCAGCTGCAGGCCTCCGAGGGCTTCGATTTGATCACAATGTGTGGGTATCTAGCAGGATAAACGGACGGGAGCACCCCTTAAGCTGTGCAAACTCCCGACACAAGAAGTCCCAGCATCTGCCCGGGACCGAGAGCACCGAGGACAGGCAACCTCCAGTCTTGGCTCATCTGAATGAGAAAGCCAGCCCTGTCTCAGTGGAAGAACTGCAAAATCTTTTAAAAGAATTCTCAGAAGACACATCTTTCCAGGACTTCTGAAATCTTTACTCTTGAAATGACCCTGCTTGGCTCTTGGGTCAGAAGTAACGGGACAATGTCATTATTACAGACTTGTTTCAACTTCCAGGGATTTTTGGATTGGCTCAGGACCACCTTAAAATGGTTCTGTAATCTTAGGAAGTCAGCCACCAGGTCACAGGAGGTAATTTGACGTGAGCAGGCAGACACAGCCAGGCAGCTCTGAGGACCTACTCATGACCCTCAGGTAGGCAGTGACCCTGTCTACAGGACTGGTCAAAAACTCAGGAGTTAGAAAAAGTTTAAAAAGAGAAAAGACCAAGTAAAAATAAAAAGAAATTTGACTGTTTAATGGACAAAGAGAAAAAGGAAACGTATATTAAGGTCAGATGACACAGTTAACCGGCAAGTTCTTTCAATCTGTCTAATGTCACTGGAGGAGCCCTGTGGCACAGTGATTAAGTGCTCAATGACTAACCGACAGGTTGGTGGTTCGAACCCACCAGCACTTCATAGGTAGTCTGCGTCTGTAAAGACAGCCTTGGAGATCCTATGGGGGGCAGTTCCACTGTGTCCTCTAGGGGCGCTGTGAATTGGAATTGACTCGCAGCAGGTTTGGTTTGGACTTTGCTTCCATAAAGACTGACAGCCTTGGAAACCATATGGGGCATTTCCAACCTGTCCTATAGGGTTGCTATGAGTCGGAATCAACTTGATGGCAGTGGGTTTTTGGTTTTATAACATCATTGGGCACTGCCTTGCCGTTCCATCACCAGTTTCACTCACTGGTATGACAATGTCACATACATATAACAAGCTTCACTTTTTAAGTTTTTATTAACGTTTATCACATGTCAAATATAAGTATGTTTTTCAGAGATCTAGCAGGTAAGGTATGTAAGAATCTGAGAGGTTTCTGGAAGGGTAACTGTGATGTTCCGTGCGTTGTAATTCCAACTGAAGCAGCTCATACTGCTTGAGAAGCTCCCTGCGAGTCCCACACACTCCGGTGCGCCTTCCCACCTGCCCTTCTATGCCCACTTTATTAACTCCACTTTGTGTGCAGGGCCTAACTCCACCAGAGGGACTCAAGATGACTGGAGAGCCCCTCCCCGTACACCAAGTCTAATGGTTCCCAAATTCAACTGGAGTTTGGAATCTCCAGGCTGCTGCTTCTCGTGGTGCTAGGATGGACACTGACACCCATTTCATCAGAGATGCCTGCAAAATCCAAATCCTGGGCTCCACCCCAGATCTACTCAATTAAACTCGCGACTGTGAACAGGAAGTAGGGTGTCACCCCAGATCTACTCAATTAAACTCGTGACTGTGAGCAGGAAGTAGGGTGTAACATGCTTCCTGGGTGACGGTTATGCACGGAGGTCTGAGGACCACAGAGCTAAAGGTCACTGTCGTTTTCTTTTTTAAAACAAACTGTGATCATGATGGAAAAACTGCCATGATGCCCAACAGTTAAACATCACTAAAAGATGCTTCAGTCATCATTCAAGAGTATGGTCAGCCAACTACTTGCTTTTTTTCTCCCATGCCACACCTTTGGCAGATGTTTTCATAGAAATTCATTAACTGATAATATTACGGATAAAACGGATTTGAGGAAATAGGAGATATTGTAACTCAAATGCAAATGTCACATTCACAAAGCAGGTGGCTTTCTTTATGTGCACTATCATTAAATCCATTTTAAAAAATTCTTGACAATAACATAATTCATGTACGATTGTCACCAATTTTAACAAGTGGGGGAAAAAAAGCAAATTTAAAAGTAAGGGAAAGCTGATTTTTCTTTTAAAATAAATGAAGATTGATCACTGTCCTTGCTGATCACCTCCCCTGCTGATCACTGCCCCCCCATGAACAAGCCACATGATTTACTCAGTGCAATCGTAAAAAGGAAACCATGGTTGGAACGTGTTAAGTTACCTCAGAATGCTTTACTATGGCTTCTAAACAGAACGTTTCTGCAGTAGCCGAAGGAACTTTTCCAAAGCTTTCTGCATAAGGGAGACCATTTCCTCCAAAGCACCATAAGCCACCCTGAAAGTCAGATGATTACAATTTTTACAGAAAAAAGTGACTAGTATTTTTTGTTTGACAAAATAAATCTCTGTACTATAGACAGTACTATGACATACTAATATGTGGGACTCAAAATATTTTGGCCCCCACCAGTCAGTCTGTCAATCTGTCATCCTGTGGTGACTTACATGTCGCTGTGAGGCTGGATGACGCTGGTATTTCACACACCAGCAGGGTCACCTATAGTGGACAGGTTTCAGCGGAGCATCCAGACTGAGACAGACTAGAGAGAAATGTCCGGTGACCTACTTCTGAAAATCGTCGTTGTTGTGTTGTTATCGTGTGCCATCAGGTCAAGCCCGACAAGCAGCAACCCCTCCTTGGGCTTCCAAGAGAGTATCTCTGTGGAGGTAGATTGCCCAGTGTTCCTTCTGAGGCAAAGTTGTTGTTATGTGCTATCAAGTTGGACTCAACTCATAGTGACCCCTCGTTGGGTTTCCAAGGCGGTATCACTACAGAAGTAGATTGGCCAACCTTCCTTCTGAGGAGTGGCTGGGGGGTTTGAACTGCCAGGCCTCTAGTTAAATGCCTTAGGCTTAATGACACCAGAGCTCCTACTTCTGAAAATTAGCCAATGAAAACGTTATGGGTCAGAAGGGACCATTGTGCTTAGTGATGCAGAGGGTCAACGAGGAGATGGGAGACCCATCACACCAGTCACATCAGTGGACCTGAACATGCCAGCGGTCATGAGGCTAACACAGGACCAGACACTTCGTTCTGTTGTATGTAAGGTCACCATGAGTCAGAGTTTACTCTACAGCAGCTGACAGCAAGATACCCCAAAAACTGAAAGGGGACTAAGTACCAAGGTTCTAAGTGGTGGCCTGGGTACCCAACTTGGAGAGAGTGGGCCCTCTCCATCCTCACCACGTGGGTGAGCGTGGGAGCTTACCTTCTGTGCAGCCAGACTCTGACTGCTCTCACTCAGAGCCAACGACGTAAAATACTGGATACACTCGTCGTCCTCTGTTTGTGGCAAAGAAGCCAGCAAGTGCCTGAGTTCCTCTTCAATGGAGAAATCCTGAGGAAAAGGGAAAGGAAATCTCCAAGAAGAAACTCAAGAGCTGAGTAGAGCAAAGGCAGACAGAAAAATCATCAGGGATAAACGCACGTGTTCAGTCTTGAAAATAGCCAGGAGACTAAACATACAGGTAAATAAGAACCATTCAAGCTTGGATTGGTTAGTTCCATGTCTGCCACCTGAATCTGCAAGATAACCGCTGCTGCACCACCACTCATCTGTCAGTCTATCGTCCTGTGGTGGCCTGTGTTGCACTGGAGACTAAAAAACCAAACCAAACTCACTGCTGTGGAGTTGGATCCGACTCACAGCGACCCCTCCTTGGGCTTCCCAGGCGGTATCACTACGGAAGCAGATTGCCCAACCTTCCTTCTGAGGAGTGGCTGGTGGGTTTGAACCTCCAGCCTTCTGGTTAGCAGTCAAATGCCTTAGGCACTATGCCACCAGAGCTCCTCACTGGAGGCTGGGTCACTGATAGTTCAAATACTAGGAGGGTCACCCCTGGTGGACAGGTGTCAGTGGAACTCCCAGACTAAGACAGACTGGGAGGAAGGACCGAGTGACCTACTTCTGAAAATCAGCCAGTGAAAATAACCACCTTATGGATCACAATGGAAGACTGGCTCACACAGACTGGCCCGTACAGACCAGCCCATACAGACCGGCCTGTACAGACAGGCCCGTATAGTGCAGGAAGATGAGCCCCTAGGTTGGAAGGCACTTCAGAGACACCATGCTCACAACAATGGGTTGGAGCAACCAACAGTCCCGCAGGTGATACAGGACCAGGTAACACTGTCCTGTCGCACATGGAGCTTCCATGAGTCAGCACCGACTCAACGGCCACCCCCACCAACGAGCTGGAGCTACTCCTCTTTCAATCCAGATGCAATAAAGAACACCTCATTTTCTCTAACAGCTTATATCAAGTACCTACGTTTCTATTTTTCAAAGTCTGACCACTAACAAAGACGCTTTAAGATTTCCATTTTCCAGTCTACGCAGGGGGCTCGGGACACACGCATCAATGTCTAGAGCAGGGGTCATCCTCAACCCAAGGTGATGTTGGTCCCAGGAGGCATTTACTCTGTCCTATAGGATCACTATGAGTCAGAATCGACTCGATGTCAGTGGTTCTGGTTTGGTGTCTGGAGACATTTTGGTTGTTAAAACCGGGGGTGCTACCGGCATCTAGTGAGTAGAGGCCAGAGATACTGCTCAACAGCCCACAATGCACAGAACAGCTCCCAGAACAAAGACTTATTTGGTGTCGAGGTTGAGAAGACCTTAAACCAAGTGGTTAGTTCATGGATGTGGATACACTATGAAGTTACCCCTGACGTACAGAGATGTTCAATCCCCAGAGAAGGAAAATACCAGAAGCACAGTACCCCTGAGAATTCAAGAAATCTTTGCCTGAAAACCGCCATTTCAGTTTACATCTGGGGTGCTTGGGAAAGGGACCCAACAGCTACTCTTTGGTGGTTTACTCTGCACCCGAGGTGAAGACGGTGCAGGAAACCAGTCCTCGTGCTGAGTTCTCTGTTTACTTACTTCCTTCACAGGCGGCAGAGGCGGCGGTGGGAGGAAAAAGCGGAGGTCGCTCTCTTTGCTCCGTGCCAGCCCAATCAGAGTTGTCGGATCACAGGCCTGGGCGATGAGCCTGTACTGGTAATCTATCGTGAGAGTAGATTTAACATCCCAATTAGCTTACAGCGGTTGCAAGGACTCAATGAACAAGGTATCTGAAAGCATTCTCATGTTTAAACTGCTATGTGAGTTTGCAATTTAAAATCTCACAAGCATTTTTTCACAGCTGCATTTACAGTCCTCTAAACTAAAACAGTGCCTAAGGCACTTGACTGCTAACCAGAAGGCTAGCGGTTCAAACCCACCAGCCACTCCTCGGAAGGAAGATGGGGCAATCTACTTCCGTAGTGATACGGCCTTGGAAACCCAAGGAGGGGTCACTATGAGTTGGGTCTGACTTGACAGCACATAACAACAACAACAACAAGCTAAAACCCCAACATTTCCATGGCTGATCTCCCAAGGCTCCTTGATCTCTCTCTGGATCCCAGGTCATCATCTACAAAATGCATTTTGAAGAAATAAAGCCAAAATATGAAGACGGGGACATCACAAGCAACTCCTCTGACCCCTTCTTTAACAATTCAGCTCTCCGAAGCTCTGGCCACTACTGGTAACCATACCTGCAGGTGCACTGCGGCGGCCCAGGAGGTCCAGGGAGGTTCTCTTGTGAGGCTCCAGGCTCTATTTCAGCTTCATGATTTAAACATGCCATTCTTTATGGACCCAAAGCAAAATTCCTTATCAGACCAACAAGCACAAAGGCAGACATCCTTTCAATCATGGCAGTTCCTAACCCAGGGAGGCACTCCTGGATAACACAGGGAGCTCTCTCCGCATCTACGTGCCACGGTCCTCCCGACTGTTCTGATACAGTGAGTCTGGAACCAAACCAAAAACCAAACTCACTGCCATCAAGTCAATTCTGACTCATAGCAGGCCCTTTTCCAAGGCAGTAAATTTTTACAGAAGTAGACTGCCCAATCATCCTTCCACGGAGTGGCTGGTAAGTGTGAACCACCAGCCTTCTGGTTAGCAGTCAGGTACCTTAAGCACTGCACCACCAGAGCTCCTAGAGTCTGGAACAGAGCCCTAGAATGCTGATTCTGAGAACAGTGTTTACATCAAAGACGCTCATGTTTACCTTACAGATGATTGCAACTGTAGCCACTAACCAATCAACTAATAACATGTATGAAGTCAGGATCTTATTCTGAGATGCAACTTTTTTGTTGTTAACCCATTGTTATAGACGGCTCTACAACCAACTGTAGATGAGTCCCTGTACCAAGCAGAGCGGGTCTGAGCCCTAGCTCATGTACATTCACTGCAGAAGCAAGTGACTTTTAAAGAAAGTGAAATACTCTAAATATTCCTAAAAAGTAAATGACATGCAATTCAGGAACATTTGCCTCAATATTAGTGTTAGAGCCAAGCAGACAATCTGAGTGAAAGCAGATACAATTGCAGGGTGCAGCAAGCAATCAAGAGATTTCATTAATATGAGATGAACAAAAAGGGAAGCACAATGTGAAGCATTAACTGTCAGAATCAAGAGTTTATCCCAAGAAACCAAATAAACAAACCCACTACCGAGTGGATTCACACTCACAGCAACCCCCACGGGGTTTCCAAGATGGTAACTCTTTACAGAAGCAGACTGCCTCCTCTTCCTCCGAGGAGCAGCTGGTGGGTTTGAACTGCTGACCTTCTGGCTAGCAGCCAAACGCCTTAGGCACTATGCCACCAGAGCTCCTTTATCCCAAGGAAATAGCTAATTAAATCAACCTTTCGTCTGGTAGAAAGTTCCACAAATCCACCTTTCTCTGTCTGAGGTTTTCTTGCCAAACTCATCTGGCTCCCAGTCTAGTAGGCTTTACTTCATCACTGGGGCTTCTTTTGTAAACTTTTGAAAAGTGGTTTTTACATTTTACAATTGCCTCAACTCTTTCTTCCATGAACTCTCAGTCTGTTTTCTCTCGTACCAGAGATCAGAGCTGGCTGGCAGTGCACTTGTGCAGGTGGGTGTCAGGTGGTGTCGGGTGAGGACGGTTACCGTGCCAGTGGTGAGCCTGTGACATCTCCTGCACGGCCTGCAGCCGCACTGCCCGGTCGCTCGACATGCTCTTCCTCAGAAGCAGCCACACTGGACACTCGTGGTCTTCCACGTCCACTGTGCAAAAGGTGTCTGCAAAACACAGGGCATGTGCACAGTCAAGAGGACATTTTTACTCACATTCACATAACATGAAATTTACCAAGAGGTGAAATCCATAACATAAGCCAAAAACCAAACCCACTGCCATCGACAATTCCAACCCAGCAACCCCACTGGGTTTCCAAGGTTGTAAATCCTTATGGAAGTAGCCCGCCTCCTCTTCCTGCAGAGCAGCTGGTGGGTTTGAATCACTGACTTGGGTTAGCAGCCAAGTGCCTTATCCACTACCCCAGAGCTCCCTGAAATCCTCCACAGAGGCATTAAATTCATTTAGAGGCACTGATGATAACTGACGCATTCGTTTACAGTACTGTCATATTATTTTGTTACGGGTATTAAGTGTACATGTTTGACGTTTTATATACTCGCCAAACCAAACCAAACTCACTGCCATCAAGTCATTTCCAACTCACAGTGACCCCAGTGGGTTTCCAAGGCTGTAAATCTTTACGGAAGTAGATTGCCCTGTCTTCCTTCCATAGAGCAGCTGGTGGGCTTGAACTGCTGACCTTCCAGTTAGCAGTCAAGTCCCTTATACACTAAACCACCAGAGCTCCCTGTTTTATATACTATATTGCTTCCTTGTGTGGTTTTTTTTGGCTCTTCTTCCCAAAAAAAAAAACTTTTTATAATAAAAAATATCAAACAGAAGAACTGAAAGAACAGTACAATGGACATCCACACACTCACCACATTTGGCTTCGATACCTGCTGGTACACTGTCCTATTTGTCCCATCTGTTTGCATGTATAATGAGTCCTGGTGTTCCAATGGGTTAAGTGCTCAGCTGCTAACCAAATGGTGGGCAATGGAACCCACTCAGCACCTCCACGGGAGAAAGACCTAGGTATCTACTTCCATAAAGATTACACCCTAGAAACGCCTGTGGGGCGGGCAGTTCTTCTCTGTCAAAGGGGTAAGCTCTAAGTCAAAACTAACTCAACGGCACCCAACAACAACAACATACACGAGTGCATGTATTTAAAAAAATAAGTTTAAAAGGAAGTTGCAGACATAACGCCTTATCCCCAGTCACCTCAGAAGCAGCCTGTGTCCTTCTACATAAGCACGTATTATCACAGCCACGAATACTAACAAAGACATCCACAATCTTCTCATGTCCAGTCCAATGCCACAGTAAGTTTCTACAACTGTCCCCACAGTATTTTTAGAGCTGTTTTTTAAAACCAGGATTTAATTGCCTCTTTAGTCTCTTGTAAATGTATAAAGTTTCCCACTTTTGCTTTCTCTGGGACCAACTTTTTTTTTTTTAACTTATGATTTGGGTGAAAGTTCACAGAGCAAATTCACTTTCCATACAGCAGCTCACATACACTTTGTCTCACGACACTGACTACAATTTACCCCAATGCAACAGCTCCCCTCCCACTGCCTCACCACAGTTACCCCCTCCCTGTGTCCTTCTCCTTATGCACTCCTGCCCCCTGAGCTCTCTCCCTATGCATACACAGCCCTTCTATTCTCCCATGATTGTTCTCTCCAATGAGTGTATCCACCTAATGTAAATCCTCAGCTCATATGCCTGTCTTTTGTTTCACTGGAAGCCTCGGGTGTGGGTTCATATCCAGACCTGAAGGACAGCTAGGGGTCATAGTCTCAGTGGTTCCACCAGGCTCTAACAGACCAGCAAACCTGGTCCCTTTTTTTTTTTCCCAAATGATTTTGAGTTTTGTTCCACATGGTTTTCCCACTCTATCCAGGATCTCCTACATAGATCCCCCTCTGAGTGGTTGACAATGGTAGCCGGGCACCATCTAGTTCTTCTGGTCTCATAGTCATGTAGGCTGCAGATCGCATGGTGTACCAGTCGCTTGGACTAATTGTTTCCCTGAATCTTTGGTTTTCTTCATTCTTCTTTCCTTTGGATGAGGAAAGACCCATTGTTGCATCTAGATGTCTGTTTGCAAGCTTTAAGATCCCAGTCACTATTTGCCAAAGTAGGAGGGGGAACAGAACAATGTTTTGTGTAGTGTGTTATGTCAATTGAGCTTGATGTCCCCTACAACTATGGTCCTGAACCCACAGGTTCAACTTCTCGCTCCCTCTGGGTAGCTAGCTGTGCCCAAGAAGTGACTACAACCTTGTCCACTCTACTATATACCTGGGAATTCTTACAGAACATACAAATACACTTGTAGAAACACTGTCTGCCAACCCTATGCATGGTCTTGGGCACAGCCCCCCTGCATAGACAAACCTAATAGTTCAGTCTGGGACCAACTTTTGAAGGCGGTCAGAACAGCTACCTCGTAGCTCATATGGATCTCCTGTGAAATTGGCTTTTGTGATGCAATGGGCTCATTGTGAGAAAGCATGGGAGGGATTTCCTGGCTAGTTAAAATTTTGAAACTACCATGAAGAGAACAGCACGTTCATCTCATGATTTATTTAGAACTATCCAACAGCAATACATCCATTAAGATGAAAAAATATGGCCCACATTGAGCCCTTAAAATTAAACACAACCCCACACGTACACCAATGTTCACCACAGCACTATTCCCAATAACCAAAAAATGGAAACAACCTAACTTCCCATCAACAGATGAATGGATAAACAAAACGTGGTAAAGCCACACCATGGATTCTCACTCAGCCATAGAGAAAAATGAAGGTCTGATGTATGCTATGACATGATGAACCTTAAAAACAGAGGAGTGAAGTCAGTCACTCCCCAAAGGAGCAAGATTGTATGATCTCACCTACACGAAATGACAGGAACAGGCAAGTGTAAGGAGACCAGAGTTTAGTGATGGTGGAGGTGGTGGGGTCATTATTTAGGAAGGAGTGAGTTTGTTTGTGGTGACAGGAAATTTGTCATCAGTTCAGGGTAAGGGGTGCACCATGGGATTAATACAACTGGCACCACTGAGTTGTACACCTGAGGAGGTTGAACTGGCAAATGTGTAAAATACATTTTTACAACAATAAAGAAAGAAAGAAAATTAAATACAATCCAAGAGAACAATGTAAAGCAATCAATTTTCCACAGATATGCTAAACATTAGCATAAGAAACCGAAAAAAGAGTGCCCCAGTGGATCACCAAACGGCTTTCGAATGACTGACAGGGATTCTGAGTCAGATGTCTGGTACTCACCAGAAAATGGGTTCTGGAAGAGTTTGGCTGATGTGGCCAGGACTTTTCTTGCTGCCTTATGAAGTTCTTTTCTTGCCTGGTAGGTGATTCCTAAAACAATTACAAACGTGAACTATACTGCCAATGCACCCATAATGCTACAATCCAGTACTTCAAAGAGCAACGTATAAACTAAACTCCAAATTTTCTTCCCCAAAGAAGATACAAAATACCATCTTTCCTCTATTTTATTGTCACTGTCAATGTGATTAAAACAATATGGGAACACAGAGTTACAGACCCCCAAATAAGCTTGCTCTCCAAGTCAGGCATAAAGTGAAAAATACAAAACACACCACCATTATCTAAAACTAACAAACATCCTCATGTATGACACAGGATTAGCTCCACTCAGGAAAATGTCCCTTAAAAATAGTGTATCTCAAACTGAAACATGGAGGGTAACGGAATTAAGCCCTGCTAATTAAGGCGCTCTGGTGGCATAGTGGATAAGGCATCTGGCTGCTAACCAAAAACATCAGCGGTTCAAACCCACCAGCTGCTCTGCAGAAGGAAGATGGGGCAACCTACTTCCATAAAGAATGACAGCCTCGGAAACCCAATGGGGTTGGTTTTATTCATTTTACAGAGGTAAATTGGAGGCTGTACACTGTTCAGGTGGAGTGAGAACACATCAGCTAAGCCTGTTGAGACAGAAGGTGGCAGGATTCTGACCACCAGTAGGAGAGGCATGAGGTCTACAGACCGTGGGTGGGGCTGTGGGCAGAGACTGCCCACTCGGGAAGATAATGTGCTTCCCTCAAGGTCAAGGCTGACGAGGCAGGGAGGAGTGGCTGTACCGTCCAGTGCGGTCACTCACCAGGCTGCCTGTACCTTGCTGAAAAGACACTGTTCTGCTCTGCCATCCCATGTCCATCCAGCGAACCTGTGATTACTAGTCAGGCTTCCATGTGACCTCAGGACTGAGAAAGGAATGTCCTAACAGGTGCTACCCTCTGCCATCGAGTCAATCCTGACTCACAGCCATCCTGCAGGACAGAGCAGAACTGCCCCGTAGGGTTTCCAAGGCTGTCATCCTTACAGGGTCACAGGATGGTTTGAACCACTGACCTTAACCACTGCACCAGCCTCCTTCCTAACTGAAGGACGGGCTTTTTTGCCTTCATGACACTTTCCCCTGTGTACATAAGGAAGACGCTATTGCTACTTAAGTATCAGTCTCATGAGTTTAGTTTGACACACATCCCTTAAAGCAGAGCTTAGAGATACATGACAAAATTGTGTTTTGTTCTTGCCCAAAGGAGGTCAAGGTTCCAGGTTCAAGCTAAAATAGTCATCTCTTAGCTCACTTCATTGTAGGAGGCTGCAGACCTGGGTTAAATGTGCAAATCCCAGACATGGTCTTCCGTTCATCTTCTCGCAACTTGGTACTCACCGAGCTTGGGGATGCTGAGAGCTAGCAGAACCTCTATCATGTTTTAAATAGACTCGTTTATAAATTCAGTAACTAGCTTCCCTTCTTCATGAAGACAGGACTATTCTACCCCACACTTACCGAGGTTTTCTCTGTTATCCAGAGAAACTGCATTCACGTATATGTACGACTTCATCTTTTCTCTTTCGACCACTTGAGTATCTAGTGTCAAAGACATCTTCAGGGCCAGAACTTCATATGTGAGAAACAAAGAACCTCTAAAAACAAACAAACAAATGACCATCAGTGTAGTGCATCAACGGTACATGGGAGCTACTCCCCTTCACTCAGCTTCTCACAGGAAACTTTCTACACCTACTGGGAAACAGAACATATACACAGCAGCATGCATATAACATAGTCATGTGTGTGTTAAACACTCAGTTTAATCAATAATGAGAAACACCTACGTAACCAGATCAAGACAAGAAACAGAACAGTATCAGCACCTGGAAGCCCCTAGGTGTATCCTCCCTGACCATCATCTGTTCATCTCTATTAAAAAAACCAAACCAAACTCACTGTCATTGAGTCCATTCTGACTCATTTCTGAGGTGGTAAATCTTTATGGAAGTAGATTGCCCAGTCTTCCTTCCGCAGACTTGGGTGATGGGTTTGAACCACCAACCTTCTGGTTAGCAGTCAAATGCCTTAGGCACTACGTCACCAGATTCTGCTTTCATTATTATAAAGTCCTTGCTTTTCTCACAGCATCACCCCTCTATGTGCACCCCTGCACCAGAGGCTAGCTCTGCCTGGGCTGGAATGCATATGAGTACAAGGTGCACCTTTGACTCCGCCTGTGCTCATAAGGCACCTTTGTGGGGCGTGGCTCTCTAGTCCACGCATTTGTTCTCTGCGGCCCGTGATTCATCCACATTGTGTATCCAGCTTCCCCCACAGATGGCGTCTCCATCAAACAATGCTGCTGCACATCTTACATGTCTGGGCTATGCCCATGTACATCTATGCCTCTCTAGGGCAACGTGTGTACTTTCTGACAGCATACATGCTGTTCAATGCCACAAACTTTTTAAAAGGTTAGACCGATTCATGCTCCCATCACCAGCACAGGAAAGCTGTCCCTCTCTTAAGAACTGCACCCGAACTCAAATTCAGGTTTGAAATAAGGTTTGTTATGCACCCCACAAGGGAGACTTCTTCCCTAATGTACATCCATGTAAATCCTGCCACAAGCTCCATGCCGTCCTGAGCCTTCTCCTGGCCTCAGACTCCACCTTAAAGCAAGCGGGGGGCCGAAAGGCCAGATGCTGGCAGCGCCAACAGGGCAGAGAGAAGTGCCCGGGAAGCCTTTCGGGAAGCCTGGCTGAGCAGCCGGAGAGCACACGTGCATGTAGGATTTGTATCGTGCTCTCCGTCAAAGACAAGGTTCCCAACCAGGAAACCCGATTCTTTTCACTCTCTGCCTGAATGGAATGCAGACAAGGCAACTGTGTCACAGAAAAGGGAGAACCATGTGAGTATGGTGCGGCTTCGATTGAACACAACGGAGGAATGTAGGTACGTGAACAAAACGTGAAGATGTAAATCAGATCTCCATCATTTTAGCATTGAACAGTTAACTTCATAGGAAAAAAGTATTACTAGTCAATTCAGAATTTACCAGAAATTATGCACATGCAGTTTCATACATAAATTTAACAAACACTTCCCTGCTCCCCCAAAAAAGAAAAAGGGGAGGAAAGCGTGATACTTTAGGGAGCGAGGCCCGCGCCCACCAAGCACACCTGCTGGAGGCTCGGGAGCTGGGAGAGGTGACTTACTCTCCCAGTCGGCCTTGACCTCCAAACCCAACTGGTGATTTAAGAAACTCTCAAAAGCAAGTGACTGTATTGTTATGCAAATAACATGCACATTACGCCAGAACTGTTTTAATAAATGCCATTATTTCTACCTGTTATATACATGGGCATGTTATTTATGTGGATGCAGTGTTTGAGAAAAACAGAGTACACCGTATTTTGCACAAACAACATGTGCATTATTTGAGTAAAAACACGGCACTTTTTACCTTCTTCACCCACATTAGAACCCAGACAGATGCCGCCTGCCGTGGTGTCAGAGGTGCAGAGGCTGATCACTGAACACCTGCTGTTATTCAGGTGCTTCCTCAGAGCCACCAGTGGCGAACCCCTCTCATCTACTCGGACCCAGGAGAAAACAAGCCTCACACAGGTGAGTAACTCGATGGAGATAACTGGTATAACAGCCAATGATTAAACCTTTCTAATTCCAAAAACTACCTATTTTTCAGTACCCAATGCTACCTTTCAGTCACTCTCATTGAGATTTCAAGTGTCATGTCATGAAGCCAATAGTATTTCCCAACTGACACTTACCCTAGGATAAGGGAGCCGGTAAACTTTATAATATTGCCTTCAAAAAGAAAAGAAAAAAATCAATGTGATGAAATTCAGTTTTAAAAGTTTGACAGAAAATATGCAACAGTGTCTCTCTTGTATCATATACAATCAGGTTTAAGGTATTGTTGATATTTCCCCATGAATACAATCGGTTATCAATGCACGGTGTCCTGTCCCAGATATCAAACCAAAAACTAAACTCACAGCCATCGAGTCAATTCCAACTCACAAAAACCCCCACTGCGTTTCTGAGGCCGTGAATCTTTATGGAAGTAAATCCCCCCATCTTCCTTCTGTAGCGTAGCTGGTGGGTTTGAACCTCTGACCCTCTGGTTAGCAGCCAGAAGCCTTATCCACTACACCACCAGAGCTCCTTGATACCAACAGCCTAATCAGTAAGCACAGAGTACACACAGATAGCCTGTATTCACTACCTTTCTCTCTCCTTCTCTCCTGGCCCCACCTCCGGTTCCCCCAGCCTGTCCCGCGACTGGCACTGCCAGACTACAGACCTTCCGTGGAACATACACCCGGACACTACTGCTGACTCCTTTTGTAGATTACAACCAGTTAAAAAAGGAACTAGGGGAGCACTCCCTAGCTCTACCAGGGCTACAATGAGGGACTGCGATACAAAATGACTTTTTCCAAAGTAATTATGTTATGATTGATGATTAAGTGCCATATATAGGTATCCCCGTTTTAAATGTACTTTATATTATATGAATTTACTTACAAATTTTTGTTTGGACCTCGGGAATCACCTTTTTTTAATGTTAAAAAAAATCCTAGTGGCAGACACAGCTAGTTGCCTATTCAACACACATAAACTTCTTCATCCTTACTAACACAACTTTGTTACCAAAAAAATCCTACTTCCCAGACTCCTCTGCAGCCAGGGTTGGCCAACAGTGTGGCCAATGAGACATGGCAGGACTCTACAGGGCGGGATCCCTTCCCAAATAAAAGACAAACATCCATGAGTGGCTTTTGGCCCTTCTGCCCTTTCATGCAGCCATCTTGGGACAACAAGGAGAACGACACACAGTGGAGACAATGAAGTAGGAGGACAAAAGGACCGTTAAGCTGCTGGTCCTGCTCTGAAGTGTCTCTCTCTCGACTTCCCTGAAGCCAGTGTACTCAAGTTTCTATTGCAAGTGCTGAACACAACCTTAATTGACAGGTATTACCCACAATGGTCAGGTACTATCATAGATTGATTGTGTTCCCCCAAAGCATGTGTCAACTTGGTTGGGCCAGGATTCTCAGTGGTTTGGCAGTTAAGTCATGATCCCCCAGTAAAGTCATGATCTGATGTGATCAGCCAATCAGCTGTAAGAGGATTAGGGTAGGCTATAACACCCTTACTCAGGTCAGAGCCCTGACCCAGTGCAGGGGGAGGTGCCCTGGGCGGGGCCTGTATCCCCTTGTATCTAACAAGAGATAAAAGGAGAGAGCAGTGAGCACAGGGACCTGACTACCAAGAAAGAAAAGCCAGGAGCAGAGCGTGTCCTTTGGATCTGGGCTCCCTGAGCTGAGAAACTCCTAGACCCGGGGGAAGACTGATGACACCTTCCCCAGAGGCTACAGACAGAGAAGCCTTCCCTGGGTGCTAGCACCCTGACTTCAGAGCAAACAGAGAGAGAGGCCTTCCCTGGGCGCTAGCACTCTGACTTCAGAGCAAACAGAGAGGCCTTCCCTGGGCGCTAGCACTCTGACTTCAGAGCAAACAGAGAAGCCTTCCCTGGGCCCTGGCACCCTGACTTCAGAGCCGACAGAGAGAGAGGCCTTCCCTGGGTGCTAGCACCCTGACTTCAGACCTGTAGCCTCTCATGAAAGGATGCGTTTCTGCCGGTTAAGCCCATCCACTTGCAGTATTTGTTACAGCAGCACTAGATAACTAAGGTAGGTGCCAAGGGCCTGTAAGTCTACTTTATCTGGTGTCTAGAGGTAGCGCTCCCTGCGTTCAGAGCTTCAGCCCATGCTGCCAAGAACTAACTGGGGGAGAAAGGCTGCACTGGTAATGCACACCCCTCCCGAGCTCTCGTGCCCCAGTGGCACTGTCCCACCAGAGAGGGAGAGCAGTCACAGGAGGTCTGTGGGGGGGAGAGGGGAAGCTGTGGCACAAAGTGCTGCCTGGCTGCAATGCCTCTGGGACGCCTGCGCTTCTGAGATGCTTCCTGGGCGTTCCCCCAGCCCCAGCCTGTGGCCCCAGGGACTGGCCTCTCATCACCCTCTACTGCTACCACTTGTTGTTGTTGTTGTTATGTGCCGTCGAGTCGGCCCCGACTCATAGCGACCCCTCCTTGGGTTTCCGAGGCAGTATCACTACGGAAGTAGGATTGCCCAACCTTCCTTCCGAGGAGTGGCTGGTGGGTTTGAACCGCCAGCCGTCTGGTTAGCAGGCAAGTGTCTTAGCCACTATGCTACCAGAGCTCCCACTAGACTATCCCTTTTCACTGGACAAGCTGTTATCTTCACAGGAGCACACTGCCAGGTCTTTTCTCCCATGGAGCAGCTGGCAGATTCAAACCACCAACCCTTCAGTTAGCAGCCAAGCACTTAACCACTGCACCACCAGGGCTCCTTAAGTCAAATACAGAAGGATGACTATAAATTTGACATGAAAAATAGGGGAGAAAAGAGAATTTCCAAGGAAAAGGCTGTGTGTCAACCCGGCTGGGCCAAGATTCTCAGTGGTTTGGCAGTTATGATGTCATCATACCACATGATGAGATCTGATATAATGTAATCACTTCCATGATGAGATCTGCTGTGCACAGTCAATCAACTGAAAGGGAATTTCCTTCAGTTTCTACATGGCCTGCTCCCAATATATGGAAAAGCTCTGGGAAAGGTCTCTGGATTTTGCCGGGGATCTTGCACCTGGCTCATCTTCACCTGGACTTGAACCAGTACCCCGCCATATTGCCTGCCAATCCTGGGATTGTTGCGTTCGCAGTCTGTGAGCCGAGAATCTGCACTTTGCCTGCCAATCTTGGCTTCGTCAGCCTCCGAAGCCAGCAACCTGCTATACTGCCTGCTGATCTTGGGTCTGTGAGCCCCTGCAGCTGCATGAATCAGCTTGATGGGCAACCCACAGACTGGGGACTTGCCAGTCTCTACAACTGTGTGAGCCACTTCCTTGAGACAAATCTCTCTGCCCCTCTCTGTCTGTGTGTGTCTCTCTCTATACATGTATATATACACACACATATACTTCACTGGTTTTGCTTCTCTAGAGAACCCAGCGTAGATAAAGAGCATGTATGGCTCTAGGCCTACAAATTTGGGGTGGGCTATTAATACAGAAAAGACATCAATCTGAGGCTTATCACAGAACATATCAATGTCTGTGGACCACCATCCTCTAAGGCGTTTTAGCAATCTAAGATAGCACTGCCAGTAACCTCTGTACTCACGAATCTCTCTCCAGTACGTGTCACTTTTTGGTGAGGGGGCAGAGCTTCCCATTCTTCTGCAACAGGTTACACAGTAAGCAGCCAGCGACATTCTGTGCATGGAGAACAAGTAAAACAGACTGCATTAAACACATGATTTCATTATAAACAAAAAAAACACTTCTTTTCATTATAAAACTTCAACTTCACAGTGGATTATCCACAGAGTTTGATTTTTCAAGATCAGAAAAAAGAACTTTTCAATTAAATACCGTTATTCTCCCTTAAAAACTTAAAATACTTGTTAAAAATAGCATTTTTCGAGGACTTGGATGATTTTTCTTCTAACTATGTCCCTTTGTAAGCAACAATTAATAGGAAACAGGAAACAGATTATCAATCAGATCACCAGTCAGATTATCAATATAGGCATCTAAATCTATTGTATACAACATATAATATATGTAATATACATACTTATATATGATATGTGATGTGTGCCTTATACATACATACATACCTATATATATATATATATATATATATATATATATACAGAAACCTGTCAGAGAAGGAAAAATCAAATATTTTCCACTAAAAGGAGTGACAGAAAAGCGCGACTGCACCATCAAAGGAAGAAAAGCCGTAAGACTTGGAAAAACCAGGCAGTCTGTGGGGTTCTGGCTCTCACACGTTTTACTGTATTTAGCTTTGCTAGTTCCTTCAAGTTCCTTCCAACACCATTAAAAATCGAAAATTTAATAGTTGGCATCCTGTTAAGAGCTGTCTGCCCAACTGCATCAACCAAGGGAAGATGATGTAATAAGGTGCAGTGGTTTCTAGAACAACTCAGTACTCCAGAGTCTTATCTGTCTTTAGAATAATGAGACATTTTTTTCCTTTTCTTTTTGCTATAAAGGAAAAGAAGGAAGGTGCCTTGTGGCACTCATGTAAGAAATGGTCCTTTGGCTGAACATATGGAAACTCCTTGAGTTTTGTGGGAAATTACCTGGTGCACATTTGTTAAGGAACAGCTGCCAGACGTTTGCTCTACGTGGAATCAAACTTGTAGACACTCCTTTTCTTTGTGAATACCCTACTTTTCCCTCCACTGCTTTTCCGGGAAAATTCATACTCCTCCTTTGGGTCTCAGCTTAAATATCCCCATCTTTTCATCCATCAGGTATTTCTGTAACTCTCCAGCAGGTATTTATTTCTTACATAGGTGCCCCAAGTAACTTCCCCCCCACTCCCTGTGAAGCTATCCAATTAGTTTCTAAGCTCCATTTCACGCCCCCCTCTGGTGGCGAGTGGTTAAGCACTCAGCTGCTAACCAAAAGGTCAGTGGTCCAAACCCACCAGCCACTCTATGGGAGAAAGATGAGGCAGTCTACTTCCATAAAGGTTACAACCTTGGAAACCATATGGCACAGTTCTACCCTGTCCTACAGGGTTGTTAGGAGTCAGAAACGACTCAATGGCAATGGATTTAGTGTTGGTTTATTCTGTACATAAGACACCCCGGTGGGATCTTAAAAGGTTGCAAGCACCCATCTAGATACAACAGGTCTCTCCTCGTCCAGAACAAAGAAGAATGAAGAAAACCAAAGACACATGGAAACAATTAGTCCAAGCGATTGGTACACCATGCCATCCTCAGCCTATATGACTATGATACCAGAAGAACTAGATGGTGCCCGGCTACCACTGTCAACCACTTGGAGCGGGATCTCTGTAGGAGATCCTGGATAAAGTGGGAGAACAATGTGGAACAAAACTCAAAACAATTTGAAAAAAAAAAAAAAGGAGCAGGTTTGCTGGTCTGATAGAGCCTGGTGGAACTCCTGAGACTATGGTCCCGAGCTGCCCTTCAGGCCTGGAATTGAACCCACTCCTGTGGCCTCCAGCCAAACAAAAGACCAGGCATATGAGCTGAACATTTCCATTAGGTAGATACACTCCTGGGAGAGATCAATCATG